CCAGGTGCAAACTAGGGACTTTTCATGCCAACTAGCGTTAGAAAAAAATAGTTTTCCTAGGTTTCCCTTTGCTGTCTGTTTGTCGACTAACATCTGTCTGTGTAAACTCTGTTAGCGATTTTATTAGACATCGACACTACTGAACTGATTGATGTGAAATTTTATATCTCTTTTAGAACTATCCTGTAGATTGTAAAACGCCAACCAATTATTTTGTAATCTAAATGCTAATTAAATTTTATAAAATAACAAAATAAACAAATCCAAACACAAAGTTAATAAAAAATCAAGAAAACAACTATTTAACAAAAATTAATTTAAATTACATTTTTGTAACAATTTAATCCTAACAGCTTACTAATATAAAAAAGAACATTTTTTCTTGAAAAAAATTTTCGTAGATAAAATTTTTTTAAAAGAGTACCTGTGGTTTATTTTTTACAATCGACATTCACATTTTTGGAAAAAAAAAGTAAATTTTATGCCGAGATTTTATAATTGAACTTAAAAACTGTTATGCAAATCCGAATATTTACTCTGAAGTCTTGCAAATGTTTTAATGTTATGGTAAGCACGTTAAATGGTTGATAAAAATTTCTGTTTATGCCTCAAAAAAACTGATGACTTCATTTCGAAATTTTGCTAGATAAATTCTCTCTAGTCTTGTAGTTTTTCACTGCATAGAAATATCTTTTAATTTTGCCTACACTGGATAACTCAAAAAAAAATTAATTAATGGCGCTGTTTATTTTGTTGTTCAAACTGAGAACAGCTCACCCCATTTTCTCAAAATTTTGAGAAAACAGTACTTTTATTATTAGTATTATACTCTAGGTATCCAAATATGATTCACTAAACAGTTTATAACGTCAATTCAAAATTGGTTATGAAAAACTCACTTGAAAAATACGCAAGTGTGCTTCTTTACTTGGTGTTTAACAGTTGACACATATCTTTATTTTATTTTGTAAGGGTTATCGATTATTATCAGAGAAAAATAAAATTCGCATAAGCAAATTTTATCATTTTTCGATGAAATTACTTCAATGCGGAAAATGGCTTTTTTAATTGTGCCGAAATTCTGAGAATGTAGAATTGTTATTATTAATAATACCTTGTACCAATTCAAAATTGAAATATTTTTTCCATTAAGATGTTGCCGACATCATTACAATTGCGTCGTCATTTACTGGTGATTTAATAGTTCATCAGCACTTTTATTTTAACTTAGGTAATCTGCTTAGGTATAGGTACATACTACATACTTATACTTAGAAGTTATTATAATTATTAATTAAGTTAGTAAAGGCTTCCTCGGTTTTTAAATACCGGTTTTTAACAAAACGTCTATCAGAAAGAATTTTCAAACCCACCAATTTTTACAATTGTCTTTAACTTAATAAATTATTATTTATCGTCACTACTAGTTTGTAACACAGCACCAAAACAAGCATTTTGCCCAATTGGTTAGACAATAAAACAAAATCGTATTCTCTAATTTGCAAAAGAAATTCGTACAAACCGCTGGATTGTTCATCCAAATTGCAAAATTGTGGGAAGATTTTACTAACTAAGAAAAGTCAAAAAATGGAAGACCGCAAAGTACAGCAGATAAAAGTTGGAGACCAAAAAGTGAAGAAAATTCGAAGGTTTCGATCAATTTCGATTAATAAGAGATATACATATATAATAAAAAGTTGGAACAAGTAAATCCACTGTTGCTCGAATTAAAAAAAAAAGAAACAATATAAACACGTACAAGAAAAAAAAACCCAAAAAATAAAAACCCGACAAAATAAGGCGGTTAGAAGATTGATGAAGTTCTACCCTTCAGCCTTTATACTTATAGCGAGAAAGCACAAGGACATATTAATGAATGATGAATCGTAGTTAAAAAATTTGGTCGAAGGTTGTTTCCACAGAAGTTCCCTCGCACCTGAAATACAATGAAACATATCCAGCATTTTCGAAAAACTAGAAACACTGATGTTGCGAATTTAATTTTTTTTATGAGAACCCCTGTAATTTTAAATATACATAGGTATGTAATGTTAAAGTAAATGTAAAGAAGCGTGCTACGGGTATGTTTCAAATGAGTTTTTAGTTAACAATGTGGAGTGACCCATTCCTGATAATCAATAAAATAAATTGACTCATTCATTAATTTTTTTTGATCACCCTGTATAAGCAAATCTAAAAAATATGGATGGAATAATAAAGCACAAGTACAGAGTCAGAATATTGTCCACATTTTAGGATTTATTCGGACAAATTTTGATATGAAGTCATCACTTTTTTAGGAGGGATAAGCAAATATATTTTAATTAAAAATTTACCATGCTTATGAGTATGACTTATGATAACTTTAAAACATCTACAAGATTTCAAAACATTCGGTTTTGCAGATTCAAAATCAGTATGCAAAATTTTGATTTTTTCAGAAAACCTGGATATTTTGGGTAAAAATTCCACACGGATTCATAAACTACATGTATAGGGCTATGTTATTTTATACAATTTAAAACTCATTTACTATGTAAGTACAATTTTGAGATCACATTATTAGTGGGAATGATGAGAAAGTCTGATTAGCATTTTACCATCTACATGATATTCACAATAATACACATATAACAACATTTGACAACAAATGGTCCCGTAGTTTCCGAGATTAGCTGTAACAAGTATTGTCACGGACGGCGGACAGGCAGAGAGACAGTCAGAGGGAAATAGGAGAGCCATTGTTTACTTCCCGAACGTAAGCTAAGGAAGTATTTAACCGAGTCCATCGGACGACTGGTTGCTGTCTTATTTTCTCGATAGGTCACCCTTAGACTACGAAAAAAATGAGTCTCCCGTTACCGCCTGTCTGTGTTCTCTCTGTCTGTCCGTCGTCCGTGACGATTTATGTTAGACAGATAATGTCCAAAACTAGTGGACCGATTGTCGTCAAATTTTATATGTGTGTTATATGTATATATCATTTAGACGATAAAACGCTAATCAAATTTTGGTTAATCACCCCCACAAATAATGTGAAGACGTCTACCTCAAAATTGTACACAGTATCTAGGTAAATGGATTTTAAATAGTAAAAAATAACATAGTTCTATACCGGTAATTTATGAATCCGTGTTGAGAAAGGTCCAGACTTTTGAAAAAAGAAATCAAAATTATATAACAACATTTTGCAATTTAATTTTGAATCTGCATAACCGAATGTTTTGAAATCTTGCAGATGTTTTAAAGATGTCATCAGCGTAGTAAATTTTTAATCAAAATCTATTTGCTTATGCCTCCTAATATCCTGATGACGTCAACTCAAAATTTGACCGAATAAATCCTATCTAAATTGTGCAAAATATGATGAGACTATATTTGTGATTTATCATTCCATTCATATTTTTTAGATTTGCTTATACAGGTGGCTCAAAAAAATTAATGAATGAGTCAATTTATTTTAATGATTAAATCAGAAGCTGCAATACCGAATGCTTTGAAATCTTGCAGACGTTTTGAAACCAATAGACTCAGTCATTTCTAATCATGTGGTATCAAGTAAATAAAAACTGAATAATAAAAAATCACTAGTGAGTTGTAATCCACTTTACTTATTCAGAAGTGGTAAATTGTTCTGTTGGTGTAATCAACAGAATTTTTTGCAACTGGAATGCATTAGCATCAGCAGTAAATCCACTAATGATTAGTTATTACATCCGCCCTCCAGTTAAAAAAGAAATAGTTCTTACGTTTTAAATAAAGGGTGTTTCAAAATGATTTTCATCTAGTTAGCTCTGAAATCGTTTCAACTCCTATCTTTCCGTTGATGAAAATCTGCAGCTATAGGCGACTAGATGAAAATCATTTTGAAGCACGTTGTATATACATATTCAGTAAAGTTGTCAAGTTTTGAGTGTTTAATTTAATTAGTTTGGTAATAATGTGTCTGATGTTATGCTGGTAACCTTCGTTAGGTTTCTGCACAATTCATAACCTTAAATATGTAACAACAGTTTTTCTCAAGAAGCGTTAGTTTCTTAATGTTGATTAACCAAACAAGTTAATGCCTTGCTACGGTCTAAAAAGGTCGCCAATGCATTATATTTACTGTCAAATGTTAAAGGCAAAAATCTTTAACTACTGCAATATTTCTTAGCTGCCTGTTAGCTGCAAGTTTTTATTATGCAAATTGGGTTGGCAATAGAGACCCTACTCGATGATCCTCTCAGCCCACATTTAATGCCTATAGATTTATTTTTGTCCTGATACGGAAAACATTTGGAGTATTTGCGACTTTTGCGTGATTCCCAAATCTGACAAGTAGACGGAAATGAGAAAACTAAATTTACGTAGTGTGTGAGCCATGCTATAATTACGGAAGTAAAAAATTAGAGATAAAGCTATTAGTTACAGTTTCTGTAACATATAGGTACGGAATCCCATAAATTTGAAAAAAGCAGTGTTTCAAAATATTACATTTGTTTATGTTATTGTTTTCCTTTTATGAAGTGTGTACTATAATGACTTACGCAACTGTACGTTTTCGTCGTAGTGTAAAATGTGATTATATTATAAACAATTATTTGCAACTAAAAATAAAGACAAACAGTTGTAATAATTAGGAAAATTCACAATTACAACTTTCTGTTTAGTTTAATTAACACTCATCTGTTAAAAATTTCTCACGCTTTTACTTTCAGTAAACTCGTGCCGAACGAGACAGAATTACAGTTTTTCCAACAAGTACGCAATATAAAACTTCAGAAAAATTATTAAAGTTATGACGGAGCATTTTAAGTTTTCTTAATAACAAATCGTTGCATATATGCACTTATATTTAAATACAAATTTTTACTGTTTGCCTAAAACTGAAACTTTCTTTCCCAGCCCTCGTATAGGTATTTGCATAGAATATTATCAGCTTATTACCTGCAACAAATAATTTCAACAGCGTAAAACATAGTCCTGTTATCGCTTTACCAGCATACCGCTAGATTATAATTTCAGAACAGTTTCATCTAAACGATATTTAAATTAATTAGAAAATTGAAAAATTAGGAACACAATGCGGGCGATGTCAAAATTGTTAGTATAAATATTCACAAATTTCAAGTGCTAGTGTTAAATTCCACTATATAAATGTTTGTTCTTTAACATCTACCTGTCAGTGTGTTTTTAACATTACACGGTAAAAATGAAGTACTCGTATTTAATGTGTATGTGCGTATACATAGGTTCTGTTTTGGGTAAGAAAACTAGTTATTTAATTTAAACACAAAGAAAAAGTTTCTATTAAAAGTAAAATATAATACAAAATTTCTTCTCATTCCAACTGTTAGGTACTTGTTGTCTCTGTAAAATGTACACATTACAAGAATTTCTTTTTAGGATTTGTAACATTTTATTGTTTAGTTATAATGTTTATTTTGCTTTGTATGTTATCTCACGCAGACTATTCCACAACAAAAGTATATACAAAGTTCAATTACCTAAAACCCACTTTTATTTACGTCAGGACTGACTAAACACTTTTTTAGGTCGTAAAGGTCTGGGTCCAACTGAACAAGAATGGGGTTTTGTAACTGTCAGACAAGGCGCCCACATGTTTTGGTGGTTACATCAAACGAGTGCCAATGTCGAACATTACACAGAACGACCTTTAATAATTTGGTTACAAGGAGGCCCTGGCGCTTCTTCTACAGCATTTGGAAATTTTGCAGAACTAGGTCCTTTGGATGTGGATTTAAATTCAAGATCCACCACCTGGATCAACAATTACAACGTTCTTTTCGTTGATAACCCCGTGGGAACTGGTTACAGTCACGTAGATTCTAGTGTTTATTTGGCAAAAAGTAACAGAGAAGTTGCTGAAGATTTTGTAGTTTTATTAAAAGGGTTCTATGAAGCCATTCCGGAGCTGAAGACTACGCCTTTATATATATTTTCAGAGTCGTACGGCGGGAAAATGACCGCCGAAATAGCACTACTTGTAGATCAGGTATGTGATACTGGAGATAAAATTTATATTTTATTATTTATTGACAGACTGATTGACATATTATTTCCAAGCACTCATTGAAGTATAATATCACTTCGATATCCATGAATTTTTTAATTGAATTATTAATCTGTTGAACAATAAATTCTAGGCAATCAAAAATGGATCCTTGGACATTGATCTTGTCGGTGTCGGTCTTGGAGACGCATGGATTTCACCAGTAGATATGGTTTTGAGTTGGTCTTCATATTTATTGAATGTGGTAAATTTAGTTTTTTGAAGTTTTCATAATTTTTTTAAAACATTTTTAAGGGCGCAGTTGATCAAAACGGCTATGAACAAATTGAAGAAATGGCACATGAAACTAAAAAAGCCTTTGATAGTGGAAATTTCTCTCTTGCCACCTTACTTTGGGCAAAAACTGAAGGTGTCATAGCTGCAGTTACTGAGAACATCGACTTTTACAATATTTTAACGGAAATTCCAAGTGCGTGGAAAGCGAAAAGTTTGTTAGCATATGATGGGATACTATGTTATAGTTTGAATGTTTTTTAATTTATAGTGGAGATGATAAAACCTGATTCTGGTTTACGGGATGCTTTGGATGATAAAATTAAAATATTAATGAATAACGTTGTAAGTCAGGCTTTGGATTTGAATGTGACCTGGGGTGATCAAAGTGCTGCAGTTTTTGCAGGTCTATACTCTGATTTTATGAAACCGGTAACTGAAATTGGTAAGTACGCTAATACATTTCCATAATTTTACATCTAATGTGAGTAATCAATTTATAGTGGAGTTGTTGTTAAATACAACTGACATTAAAGTGGCTGTATACAATGGACAATTAGATTTAATTGTTGATACGCCAGGTAAGTGATTTTTATATTTACTTGATAAATAATGTGTTAAATATTTCTATCATAGGTACTGTGAAGTGGGTAGACGAATTAAAATTCGAAGGAGTTGAAAACTGGAAAACTTCATCTAGAAAACCAATTATTGCAAATGGTATAGTTGAGGGTTATTACAAAAAAATTGGAAAATTCACAATGTACTGGATTAATAGAGCAGGTCACATGGTAATATAATGTCCAAATTGTTAGTTCTTTTTTAAATAAATGGGTTTTTGTAGGTTCCTTTAGATAATCCTGCCGCAATGGACATAATTTTGCAAGATATGATTGAAGAATATGATATGAAAAATATAAACGACGTATATTAAACTTAGTTGCTTATTTGTATCAACATATATTATATTTGTAACATTTTTTTAAATATAATGCTTCAAAGATTTTGCACATCACTTTTTTATTTTTTTAAATAAATATGAAAAATATCTGACTAATTTGCTGCACAGCAAAAATTTTAGCGATTAATATATTTTGCCCTGTACAGGGTGATATTCAGAGCACTAATGCATAAGTTTAATGAAGAATGAGAGCATGGTCAAATATGGCTGTCAGAAAAAATAATACCATCGACACAGAGAAGTTCCTTTTGCATCTAGTTCTGTATATCTAATTTGATTCTGAGATTACAAAGTCGGCAAACCCGGAATTTCTGTATCTATCATCTATCTCAATAAAAAAACCTAGACAAATTTCTTAGTAGAGTGGAAATTCTATAAACAAAAAACAAGTTAAGTCATTCTAATCTGTAACTTGGGGTTTGACTTGGAATATACAATTCGCGTTCTGAAAAAGGGCCATTAGTAATAAACCTTCGTCACCAAAAATAGAAAACTTTGTACTTCTAGGAAGAACTGATTTGAATAAAGTACGGTAAACATTGATAAACCACAAAAGACGAAACATAAACTGCTTGATTAAACCGCAAGTATAGGTGCAGGTTCGTTCTCCTAAATTCGCAGGTGAACCTATCCATACCATTTTAGGTTTGCTGTAATATCTTATTGATGTGTTCTTCTCAAAATATTCGGAATCTAAAAATCTGAATTACAGCTTAGTGATAGTCTACAATTTACCCATTTCTGTTCTTGTACCGATCCAGGTAGTTTGCAAGTGTAGGTTATCCATACTTAATCTTGGCATTTTTAATAGTTTGTTGAAAAAAGACAATTAAAACTATTCTGTGTTCCTCATAGTCATTCATGTTCCCAGTACGTTTAAAACAGATCCTCACTAAACTTTTACTTTTTATTAATTTTGTTGTGAATGCACGATTTAGAAGAAGAAACCGATGGTTAATGGGCGATAATCACTCTGTAGTGGTTAAGAATTATTGTCAGCTGTGCTTAAGTCAATAATAATCTATCTTGGTAGTCTAAATTTGTCACTGAATTGAAATTAAACATTTTTTATAATAAGATATCTAATGAGGGTCGTTGATTTGTGACTATTAATCTAGACCTCGTCTCTGGAGTCCTTTTTCAACGTCTTGGTGGTTATTTGTTTCGAATTCGTCACAAAAGTTATTTTTCTTACAACAAACTTCTCATCAGTGGTTTAATATAAGTACAAATAAACATTAAAATGCTTTTTCATAAACTAACATTTTTAACTTAATATAACATCGTTGTCAACCTACTTTAGTTTATTTTACTTTTGTAGCAATTTTTTCAGTTTACATCGCACATGCAATAAAACACATTTTGAATGTATTTTATTCTAAACTAAAGATATTGCACGTTTCCAATAACAATTGTATCTCCTTGTAATCAATGTCGGACAATCTTTATTGTGAAGTACTTCAAGTACCACATATTCAGGAAACATGCACAATATAAATACTACTCATCTTCAAATTTTTACTGCATTTAATGTTTCAAAACTAAAACCTCACTACGATGAAACTGATAATTTTGGTATTTTTTATTGCAACGATAGCTTTCGGTAAGAAAATCGTTACGAGTTTAGCCCAACTAAAGTTATTTCTAGCTCGGAAGGGTTTCGGTCCGACGGAACAAGAATGGGGTTTTGTCACCGTCCGTGAAGGTGCCAATATGTTTTGGTGGTTGCAACAGACAAGTGCAGATGTGGAAAATTATACAGAAAAATCTCTAGTAATCTGGCTGCAAGAAGGTCCAGGAGCTTCATCTACCGGATATGGTAATTTTGCAGAATTGGGACCATTAGATGCCGACTTGAATCCAAGACCTACAACTTGGCTCAATAAATACAATGTTCTCTTTGTGGATAATCCTGTGGGAACCGGTTACAGTCACGCAGACTCTTCGCGTGCATTGACAACCAACAACAGACAAATAGCAGACGATTTTGTTGTTTTACTGCAAGGATTTTACGAAGCTGTTCCTAAGTTAAAGAAGACGCCTTTGTATATATTTTGTGAGTCGTATGGTGGAAAAATGACTGCGGAAATTGCTTTAGTTGTAGATCAGGTAAATTTTGTCAACAAATCGTGATATTTGAACGTGTGATTATTTCTTATGGTTATCAAAACTGAACGTTTACATTATTATTAAAGGCCATCAAAGCCGGGACTTTAGATGTTCAGTTGCTGGGTATTGGTCTTGGAGATTCTTGGATTTCTCCTGTAGATTCTGTTTTGACGTGGGGACCTTATCTACTGAGTGTGGTAACTTTTTTTGTTTTACTAAGTGAACTGATTTACATTAGCAAAATGTTCAAGGGTGCTGTTGACCAAAATGGTTATGAGCAGATTCAGGAATCAGCTGAAGCTACAAAAGCAGCTTTTGATGAAGGAGATTATTCTAAATCTACGGATCTGTGGGTATCAACTGAAATGTTAATTCTGTCCCTGACCGATAATATAGATTTTTATAACATTCTTACAAAGGTAGGAGATGTATGGGGAAGGAAAAGTAAGTCTATAAATTTTGTCACTGGATACCAAATTAATTTTTTTGCAAAAATAATAAAACCATTTTTGACCGACGACGTCGACGATAAAATCGATGTTCTTATGAACAAACAAGTAAAAGGAGCTTTAGGGTTAGACGTTAGTTGGGGTGATCAAAGTGGTGGTGTGTTCAACGCCCTTTATGAAGATTTTATGAAACCAGTGACCGAAATTGGTACGAAATGTCTTTCTTCCTTACAGATTAAAAATAAATTATTATAGTCGAGGAACTTCTTAACACAACAGACATCAGAGTAGCAGTTTATAATGGACAACTTGATTTAATTGTTGACACACCAGGTATAGGTAATATACATTGGAACCACATGTTACAAGATATATATCTAATTCTAGGAACTATTAAATGGGTTGACGAACTGAAATTTGATGGTTCGTCGAAATGGAAAAATACTGACAGGAAAGCAATAGCTGTAGATGCTACTGCAGAAGGTTATTACAAAAAATTAGGGAATCTGGCATTCTACTGGGTTAATAGATCAGGCCACATGGTAATAATAGGTGTTTCACAATATTCATAATAAAAACAATTATGTTGCTTTAAGGTTCCGTCAGATAATCCTCAGGCTATGGATTTTATTCTAGAAGATGTAATTAATGGCAAATGGAACAAACAATAAATATTATCGTGTAAATTATGCAGAGAAATAAAATCTACCCATTTCGAAATTAAACTTTCTTTTCACGTTCTTGGATAGTATTATAATAGATACTAGACGCTACGGAATCTGACTTTGTTGTGTAACTTCTGCTTTCAAGCACAATTAGTTATCTGTTTATCAAGCTATTTTACTTCAAGTATTTTGGAACCCGTTATGTCTATAAATTTGCACTTCACTTGATACAATGGCATCCACAAGTAAACCTAGTAAACACGGCATGAACTAATAAGATCATACCCACAACTGTTTGGTGGATTCTTTAATGTTAAATAATAATAATAATAATAATAATAATAATAATAACCTTTATTGCCCAACAGATAACCCTATTACAGGACAATATAAATCAATAATAAATAAAAATAAAAAAATTAAATAAAATAACTAACAAGTTAAGGATCGTAAGGATCAAAACCAACACACTATGCCTACCATGCAATACGTGTATAATTAAATTAACATTAATAATAAAAATAATAAAAACAACAATTTAACGCAGTTGACTCATTTTACAAAAAAATACATCATCATAAAATTTTTTCACATTCTGATACATATGTTCCAGTGGGGCTTTACGTAGTTGATTTGTTCTTGGTATTGAAGGCAGAAATGAAGATGCATGACGTGAAACGATACGTGGTACGTGAAAATTAACATTGGCCAATAAAATAGGACAGTCAATTTTTCCCTGAATTAAATTCCATAAAAAATTAGCACTGTACAATTGTCTTCTGCTACTCAAGCTATGAATTTGGTGTCGTGCTAATAACAAATTATATTCCATTCCCCTAATTGGATAGATTCCATCTATTCTAAACGATAAATATTTTAAAAAACGACGTTGAACTTTTTCTATGGCAAGCCTATGTGATTCATAATACGGATACCAGATAATAGACCCATACTCTAGTTTACTTCGAACAAATGAGAAGTATAACATTTTCATTAGTTGTGGGTCAGTGAAATCTTTTGTAAGTCGAAATGTAAAGCCAAGCATTTTCGAAGAAGATAGACATATATTATGCATATGTTGAGTAAACGATAAATGTGAGTCAAATGTGATACCCAGATCTTTTACTAACTGTATTTTTTTAATAGATTTATCGTTTATAAGATACGAAAAGCAAACTGGATTTAATTTTTTTGTATAGGTCATAATGAAACATTTATCAGTATTTAACAGTAATTTGAATTCTTTGCACCAGTCTACCATCCTTTCAAGATTATTTTGAAGCAAAATGCTATCATCTAAGCATCTTATTGAGGAGTATAGCTTTATATCATCAGCATATGCTAACACTTTACAACGTAATGAGTCCAAAAGATCGTTGACAAAGACTACAAAAAGTAAAGGCCCTAAATTAGACCCTTGTGGCACTCCAGAGGTGGAAACAAAATTTTTAGATTGAAAACCATTATAGAAAACATAATTTTGTCGGGAGTCAAGGTAAGACTCCATTAGCTTTAAGAAACTATATGCAAATCCAAACCAACTTAATTTACATAAAAGAACATGATGATCAATGGAATCAAACGCACAAGAAAAATCAGTATAGACGACATCGACTTGTCCATTCTTATCTATTTGTTGTGAAATGAATTGACTTATTATAGCTAAATTAGTGATTGTAGATCGTCCAGGTAAAAATCCATGTTGATGTATAGAGATGAGACTTTTAACATTGTGATAAATATTTCTATAAATGAGTATCTCAAAAATTTTAGCAAAATTCGAAAGTATAGAAATAGGTCTGTAGTTTTTTATCATAGAAGCATCACCTTTTTTGTATACGGGAGTAATTCTGGCTATCTTCCAAGTGTCAGGGAAGGTGGATGATTTTATAGCTAAGTTAAAAATTGTAGTAAGAGGTCTAGCCAATGCGAATCTTGTGTCACGTATAATAAAACTAGGTATTAGGTCATCACCAGCAGTTAATTTGTTAGGGAAAGATGACATAACAGACAAAACTTCTTCTTCAGAAACATTTTGCATTATAAAGGAGGAATTATTTGTGACAACATCAGTAAGTGAAACATCAAGTTTGGATTTGTACATGCTTGAAAAATTTTCTGCAAATATATCTACTATTTGTTGAGGATGGTCATATTCATTTCCATTATGTGACAGTTTCCCAGGAATGCGAGTCGTACCTTTTTTTGCCTGAGCATATTTCCACATATTTTGAGGACAGGTATACAACGACTGCTCAATTGAACTAAGGTAAGCTTGATAAGCTGAATTTATTAACTGCTTGCAAATAGCCCGAAGTCTTTTAAACTCACTATGATAAAACTCACTAGATGTTTTTTTCCATTTCTTCCTATAATAATCTTTCAGTTTCAAAGTGGATATTAAATTCTTATTAAACCAAGAAGGGTACGTTGATTTAACTACATGAAACTGAGGAACAGAAGAGTGTAAGATACTGTATAATTTATCGTAGAAAAGGTTCACACAGGCATTCACGTCATTGGTAAAGCTTAAAGAAGACCAGTCAGTAGCAAGAATATCATTATATAAATTTACGTAATTAGCTTTCCTGAAATTATATCTTAAGTTGTTACCAGATGGAAAATTACTAACTTTTGCAGAGGTGGGAAATTTCACAATCATTGACAAAGAGGGATGGTGTATATCTTCTGGTACAATTGGGTAATTTTCATGAGATACGTTAACTGAACCATCAAAATTTGACAAGATTAAGTCTAAAAGTCTGTTGTGGGTATTAAATATGCAATTATGCTGAATAAAATTTAGGGAACTGGAAAAAGTTGAAAATACGTGGTTCTTACTGCCTGGTGTATTATAAGTTAAATTATTGTTAAAATTTGCCAAGTTAAAATCTCCAATAAACAGTGTGGGCTTGTTCAATAATAATGTTTCCAGAGCTTCAAAAAATGACTCAAACTCACTACATGAGATATTTGGAGGAATATAAACAGCTGCTAAATAAAACTGAAAAGTATTACAAAAACAATTACATACAATCAAGTCTATAGCGGGTACTAATTCTGCAATACTCGTCGTGTCTACTACAGAATATGTAACAGTTTTGGAAAATAAAATTAATACTCCACCACCAATAATTCGATCAATTATTGAACATTTTCTATCATTTCTGATAACATTATAAAAAGATGGACACAGTTCAGAATTAAGAAACGAATCATTTAGCCAAGTTTCCGTTATAATTATTACATCAAAAAAACATTCAGATACATTTTTATAAAACGATTGGAGTTTAGACCTTAATCCACGCACATTTTGGTAATATATTTCAATCGAAGCCAGTGACCTGTTAGGCTAAAAATACTATAGATCTAAAAAATACTTCCATGTATATGTAGGAAAAACGGCCGTTGAGGTAGGCCAAAGACTTATAATTTTATAAGGTTTGTTAGTAAAATTATAGGAGTAATAAGTAAAAAAAAAGTCACTATATTATGAAAACCTGCGTACATCCATTCCCCCTGGCTGCCTTTCAATGATGGTGGTTACGCTTCCTGTGGCGTCATGAATGTGGCGGGTAATATGAATTACTAATTTTCAGATGTAGGTATGTACTAGAATTAATAATAATGAAAGAATAATGAATGAATAGACAATGATCAATAAACTTTTACATTCGGATTGAAATTTTTATGTAATTCGGTAATTTTAGAACCATAAATACAGAAGAATTTTCTTGTAAGGGTTGTTGTTTTGTTTGCGCCAATTTATAAATATAAAAACCTTAACCTCATAATCTTCCTATTCCCTGTAAGAAATGATATCGCCGGTCCACTGTTATGTGGAGACCTTACTAACTTAGGGATTTTGTCGGTGATCAAAAGTGAGCTACTGGGACATAATTTGCAAAGGGTCCGTGCATGTTAGCTGTAGAATCAATATTAACAATTAGCAATATATATGTTTTGTTAAATGTGGTACATCTCTCTAAATAAAAAGTAAAAAACAAAACAACAAATATACTAGGAGTACATATTTTAAATTTTAGAGAATTGTCGATCAAAGTAAATATAAAGAAATTCAAATGTCAGTGGAAGATATAAAAAAAAAATCGAAAGAGGAAATTTTTCTGAAGCTACTTCGTATTGGTTTTCGAATTAAGCTTGTAACAAAGAATGTAGATTTTTACAACGCTTTAAACAAATCTCCTTTGCAACAAGGTAGAAGAATATTTATTTTCATATGTTTGTATATATACTTATAATTAAAAATATAATAAACATAAATAATGTTATACCACATACCTTATGTCAGAGAACACACAATGAGAAGACAAGAATATGAAAATAGTAGGAAAATGTAGCTGTTAGATGTTGACAAATTATCACTTCAAAAGTCAGTTCCTAGTGCAGATTTTTGTAATAGATAATATCCATTGTGAATTGTTTTTATCACCCAAGTGAGGTACTACAACTGAGTACCACATGATGACAGTCTGCAGGACCTTACACTTAAGGTCTCTATCTTCTACAAGCTACTGAAACACCACGCACCTGTTCTATGAAATACATATTTCAATTTCAACTCTGACCTCCACCACCGTCGTACGACTAGTGCTATTATCCCCACTACCTTTAAAGTACTTCCATTCAAAAAATGTTATCGCATTCAATGTACCGTCTTATCCATGCACAGCTACTTTGTTACGAGTATAAGTTATTTTCATATTTATATTTATATTTAATTCTGACGTTTTAAAGGCGATTGAAAACGTTCTATGGGTCTCATAGCCACTCATGTTTCCATGTTTCTTTAGTAAATCTTTTTCTTTTTTTCATTTCAATATTTTTTTGTACGTTAACGTGTTAGAAGACAGAGTTTTAGACTGTTACGAGCATATATTTACATTAATATAATTTTTCAGAATCTACTAGCGACTTAATCAAATCTCTGGTAATCTAGTAATAGTAATCTTCCTAGAAAAACTAAGTACCAATTTACTTTTTTCGAACCTGACACACCTCATTTCAGTTTATACCGAACTTGCATTAAAATAAGTTTTCATGTATTTTATATAGATCAAAGATATCACACTTTTCTAACAACAATTGTATCTCCTTATAATCAATGTTAGACAATCTATATTGTGAAGTACTTCAAGTACCACATCTGTAGGAAACGTGAACCATATAAATACCCCTTCTTCTCAAATTCTTACTACATTTGTTGTTTGAAAACCAAAAGCTCACTACCATGAAACTGGTAATTTTTCTCTTCTTGATTGCAACAACAACTTTCGGTAAGAAAATTGTTATGGGTTTATCCCAACTGAAATTCTTTCTAGCTCGGGAGGGTTTCGGTCCGACGGAACAAGAATGGGGTTTTGTCACCGTCCGTGAAGGTGCCCATATGTTTTGGTGGTTGCAACAGACAAGTGCAAATGTCGAAAGTTATACAGAAAGACCTCTAGTAATCTGGCTGCAAGGAGGTCCAGGATCTTCATCTACCGGATATGGTAATTTTGCAGAATTGGGACCTCTGGATGCCGATTTGAATCCAAGAGCTACAACTTGGCTTAATAAATACAACGTTCTTTTTGTGGATAATCCTGTGGGAACCGGTTACAGTCACGTAGATTCTTTCGATGCATTGACAACTACAAACAGACAAATAGCAGATGATTTTGTTGTTTTATTGCAAGGATTTTACGAAGCTATTCCCGAACTGAAGGATACTCCTTTGTATATCTTTTGCGAGTCGTATGGTGGAAAAATGACTGCGGAAATAGCTCTTGTTGTAGATCAGGTAAAGTTTGTTAATAAGTCTTTTTATCTCTTGATATTATCTGAAGGAGTGTTATCTTTTATGATTATCTGTTTGTAAACACATCTTCAAAATTGCAACTCATTTCGATGACTTTTAAATTTTATTACAGGCCATCAAAGAAGGGACTTTGGATATTCAGTTGCTTGGTGTTGGTCTTGGAGATTCTTGGATTTCTCCTGTAGATTCTGTTTTGACGTGGGGACCATATCTACTCAGTGTGGTAATTTTCTTTGATATTACTTACTGAAATAATTTACTCTGGCAAAATTTTCAAGGGCGCTGTTGACCAAAATGGTTATGAAGAGATTCAGAAATCAGCTGAAGCTACAAAAGCAGCTTACGATGCAGGAGATTACTCTAGATCTACGGACCTCTGGGGACAAACCGAAGGCGTAGTTCTGTCGCAAACAGATAATATAGACTTTTATAACATCCTTACAAAAGTATCAGATGCATGGAAAATAAGGAGTAAGTCTACAAATTTTGTTATTACAGACTAAATCTATTTGTTTTTAACAGAAATAGCAAAACCATCGGTAGCTGACGATGTCGACTATAAAATTGACATTCTTATGAATGGACAAGTAAAAGAAGCATTGGGTCTAGATGTTGATTGGGGTGATCAAAGTAATGCTGTGTTTAGCGGCCTTTATGAAGATTTTATGAAACCAGTGACCGAAATTGGTATGATTACTTTCCCTCTATTCTTGAAATAAACTAAAAATAAATCATTATAGTCGAAGAACTTTTGAACACAACAAACATCAGAGTAGCAGTTTATAATGGACAGCTTGATTTAATAGTTGACACGCCAGGTACAGTTTTAATACAGCCAGAACCATATTTCAGGAGATATAATTTTAGGAACAATTAAATGGGTTGATGAATTGCAATTTGATGGTTCATCGGAGTGGAAAACAGCTGAGAGGAATGCAGTAGCTGTAGATGATATTGTAGAAGGTTATTACAAAAAAGTAGGAAACCTAGCATTCTACTGGGTTCTTAGAGCGGGCCACATGGTAATTATAGGTGTTTCAAAACATTCATAATTACAACAATTTTTTTGTTTCAGGTACCAGCAGATAATCCTAGTGCCATGGACTTTATTTTAGAAGATGTAATCGACGGCACGTGGAACAAATAATAAAGATTGTTGTGTTAAAGAAAGACAAAGAAATAAAAAGTACCTATTTTAAGATTAAACTTTGTTTCTATACCCTTGAAAAAATAAATTACACATCACATCACGCCAAGCATTGCTATCTGTTTGTCAAGCCGTTTAATTTCAAGTATTTTGATACCTACTGATATCTCTACAAATTTACAAAGCACTTCACTCAATACAGTTGCAGCAACAAGCAAACATGAAATTAGTTCTCCTCACAATAAATCTATTAATAGTGGTTACTTGTAAGTGTCACTTTTACAAAACAACACCAAAGCCATTGAAAATTTAGGTCGAAAAGGCTTCGGCCCAACGGAACAGGAATGGGGTTACGTCACAGTGCGTGAAGGTGCCCACCTGTTTTGGTGGTTACACCAAACAAGTGCCAACGTAGACAGTTATACCGAACGACCTCTCGTAATATGGTTGCAAGGTGGTCCTGGCGCTTCGTCTACCGGATATGGTAATTTTGCAGAACTGGGACCTTTGGATGCTGACTTGAATCCAAGAAACACTACATGGATTCAATATGTTAATGTTCTGTATGTGGATAATCCTGTTGGATCTGGGTACAGTTATACAGACTCTTTGGATGCGCTTCCTATCAATAACACACAGATTGCTGAAGATTTTGTGGTTCTGCTTAGAGGTATCTTTAATATTATTCCAGATCTGAAAAATATGCCAATGTATATCTTTTGTGAATCTTATGGAGGAAAAATGGCAGTCGAAATTGCCTTAGCAGTTAACCAGGTAAGTCAAAATTGTACAAAGTTGTTAGCTTAATTATAATAGGCCGTTAAAAATGGGTCACTGGAAGCTAATCTGAAAGGACTGGGATTGGGAGACTCATGGATATCACCTATAGATTCAGTGTTGACATGGGCACCATATTTGTTAAATTTGGTATATTATTATTAATATAAGACCAACTTAAAATATTTCTGCATTTATAAATTTTAGGGAATTGTTGATCAAAACGAATATGAACAAATTCAGGTATCAGCTGAAGCTACGAAAAAAGCTTTAGATAGAGGAAATTTTTCGGAGGCTACTTCGTTATGGTCTTCGACTGAAGCTTTGGTAAAACTTGTAACAAATAATGTTGATTTTTATAATGTTTTAAGTCAAACGCCTTCACAGCAAGGTATAAGAATATTTGTTTTCAAGAACACGGAAATACTAATTCAAACTTTTACTGTTTTAGGCAAATCACCTCATTACTTATTAACAGCGGAAGAAGATGAAAAAATTAATACTTTAATGAACGGAGTAGTAAAGGAAGCTTTACATCTGAATCATTCCTGGGGTTTTCAGTCAGCATTTGTGTTCATTTACCTGCGTGAAGATTTTATGAAACCTGTTACAGATATAGGTAAGTTTATTGCTAGCGTATGATTTTTAAATATCTAAAAATTAAATTCGCAGTTGAAATTTTGTTGAACACAACCAATATTAAGATAGGCGTCTATAATGGACAACTGGATTTGATCGTTGATACACCCGGTAAAATAAATGTATTATAAAGGGTTTTCTTGTGATGTCTGATGAGTTGATGACTGATGCACTGGTCAACAAAATTCAATTTTTTCTCTCTAACTTTGACATAATTGTAATGTTTTCGTTTAATTTGTCTCTGTGTTTGTAACAAAGGGCATAAACCTTACAACTTAGCTCAATTAAAAATAAAAATGCATATTTGATGTAAAAAACAAAAAACCAGGTAAAACAATTTAATTTTTGTATCTTTAACGGCAAAAAGTGATGTATTAACAAAAGAACAACCATAATTAAGAAAAAAACAACGATTGTAGTTTAAAAAACGAAAAAAACAAAAGAAACAGCTAAGACCGACGTTTTTTCGGTTGCCTCCTATGGATTTCATTGGAGATCTCTCGCTTGATGGTCCCGCAGTATTCTGCGAGCATTTAGGTGTTCCATCGATCTTGGTAACGTTTTTGTATCCACAAAATGCCCAGATGGAAGCGTTCTCTATGTCCGTCACTCACGTCGTCATAATTTTTGGGGAAAAAATCAAGATGAGAATACATAAAATGCACTTTTAAGAATATGTTAATTTTAAATTTTTTATATGATGATAACATGTTTTCTACTTACTAAACGTAGTTTTCTTATTGTTTCCCAAGAAGTTTGTAGCAATTTGATCACAAAAAAATACACCTTATAGAAAGTTTCCTATTACTTAATAGTACGATTTTTGTATTTTTCAAAGGATAATATTGAAGATTACTTTTAAATGAGAGCTAAGTTTGGGTTTAGCCGTTTATAATATAATTTAAAATTGTTAATTAAATAATAATTGGCTGCTATAATAAAAGTTAGAGCTTAGCTGTTGACCAGTGATGATTAAGGTGCTCTGAAACAATAAATAAGTAGCCTAATTTTGTTAATGAAAAATACCATACAGTGCTTGAATCTTGATGCTCTTCATATAGCAGTTTAAAATAAAGCTGCTAAATTGTTATAAGATAATTGAATAATTTAATTGTAGGTACAATTAAATGGGTTGACAATTTGGAATTCAAAGATTCAATTTTATGGAAGACATCTGAAAGGAGTGCTATGATCGTGGATAATATAGTAGAAGGCTATTATAAAAAATTAGGCAACTTAGCAGTCTATTGGGTCAACAGGGCCGGACACATGGTAAAACAAATAAACCTATAAATAATAACAATCCCTTCAAAACGTAAATTTTAGGTTTCTATTGATAATCCATCGGCCATGTATTATATTTTGAACGATGTAACTGAGGGTTTTTCTAACAAATAAAAGAATTAAAAAGAGACTTATGCATAAAAAGTCAAGCCAAATTTACTTATTTATTATATATTATATATTATATTATATTTATTAAGTTTTTACTTCCCGAGCGTAAGCGAAGGAAGTATTGTAATCGAGTCCGTCAGCCGACCCTCTAGTTTTACGTTTTCTCGACCTTTCGTAACCCATACAAGACGAAGAAGTAGGTCGCCCGTTTCCGTCTGTCTGTCTGTCCGTCTGTCCGTCTGTCTGCTGTCACGGATTTTTATTGGACAGATAATCTCCGAAAGTACTGGACCGATTGTTGTCAAATTTTGTATTTATATTAGGAATATCATGTAGATGGTAAAACGCTAACCAAAATTTCTCTAATCATCCCTACCACTAATGCGATGACGTCACTTAAAAATTGTACATAGCAAATGGGTGGTAAATTGTATAAAATAACATAGTCCTGAACATACAGTGTATGACTCCGAATAGTTTTTACCCGAAACATCCAGATTTTTGGAAAAAAAAATCAAAATTATAAAATATTAATTATATAATAAATATTTTGCAATTTAATTTTGAATCTGCTAAACCGAATGCTTCCAAATCTTGCAAATGTTTTAAGGTTATAAAGAGCATAATAAATTTTTAGTCAAAATATATTTGCTTATTCCCTCCAAAAAATTGATGACGTCAGCTCAAAAGTTTGCCGAATAAATCCTATATAAAATGTACAAAATATGATGAGTCTGTACTTATAATTTATCATTCTTCATAGTTTTTGAATTTGCATATATAGAGTGACTCAAAAAATTAATGATTGCATAAATTTATTTTATTGATTTAATCAGGAACTACAAAACCGGATGTCTTGGAATCTTGTAGATGTTTTAAAGTTATCATAAGCATGGTAAATTTTTGATCAAAATGTATTTGCTCATCGTCCCTAAAAAATTGATGACGTCACCTCGAAATTTTGATGAATAAATCCTATCTAAAATGTACAAAATGATGAGTCTGTAGTTGTGATTTATCATTCCAATTATATTTTTTGGATTTGCATATACAGGGTGACTAAAAAATATTAATGAATGTGTGAATTTATTTTATTGATTTAATCAAAACTACAAAACCGAATGATTTGAAATCTTGGTGATGTTTAAAATTGATCATAAGCATGGTAAATTTTTTATCAAAATGTATTTGCTTATCCCCCTAAAAAATTGATGCCGTCACCCCAAAATTTTGCTGAAAAAATGATATCTTAAGTGTATAACGAATGATGAGTCTATACTTGTAATTTATCACTGTATTAATATTTTGTAGATTTGCTTATAGGGGGTGTCTGAAAAAATCAATGACTCAATCAATTAATTTTATTGATTAAATCAAGAATTGCAAAACTGAATACTTTGAAATCTTGCAGATGTTTCAAAGTCATTGTAAGCATGGTAAACTGTGAATCCAAATAAATCTATTTATTTCCCTCAAAAAATTGATAACGTCTTCTCTAAATTTTGCGGAATAAATTCTACCCAAAATATGCAAAATATGAGCTTTTACTTGTGATTCATCATAGCACTCGTATTTTTTATTGATCAAATTATGAGTCATCCCATTTTCTCGAAAATGTGAAAATACAAACATCTTTATTTAATAAGAATGATATAATAATCATATTCAGAACATTTTGTCGAGTGTAGCTTACTGGTTAATTGTTTTGTTCCTCTGTTTTGAAGGGTCGAACTTATTCAAATCAAACTAATTTCTACGTGACATTCTTCCGATCTATAAACATAAACACTTTCAAGTTGTTTTTCTTATCGAGGATAATCTAAGGACGTAGAGTAATGGAGTCCATTGGTCAGTTTGGTACTCGTTTATCGATATTTCATAAGGCCGTAGCTAGGGGAGGCTAGGGGATACTCGCCTAGATATAGACAAGTAATAATTAACCAAATGTGAATTACAGCATCCAAATTCAAATTAAATGTAGTGTTTTATTCAATAAACGGAAATCAGAGCAATAAAAAAGTCTGGATCGTCGCATTGTCATCCGGTTATTGCAATTCGTGTTTTAGTTTCGTTTGTATTTCACAGTCACGTTTACAGGTTGAAAATTGGATTTCCTTAAACAGGTGGCTCAAAAATATTAATGAATGAGTCAGTTTATTTTATTGATTAAATCAGGAATGGTTCGCCTCCTTTTCCCAGAAAATTTTGGGAATACAATACAGTTATTTTTAGTACTACACTGCACCAGTTGATATTGATATACGTTGCAAAAATGTTGACGTCATCACTAATTTGTGTAAAAAAAAACTCAACTCGAAAATGCTGGATATGTTTCATTATACTTCAGGAGCGAGGGAAGTTCTGTCGAAACAACCTTTGACCAATTTTTAGAATGTTACCTATAAAATATAGCATAATATCTTAAGGGCATTTTAGACTTCATATTTTCAAATTTTGGGTACAATTACAGCCCATCTTTGTCAAATTTTGTACTTATTTCGGAAATATACGTACGTACCTAATTGATAATAATTGATAAAACTCTACCTATAATTTCTCTAATCAACTTCACCAATAATGTGGTGGCACCACCTCAAAATTTTGCACAGTACATTTGTTTAAATTTTATAAAATAATAGGTATATTCCTACACTTGTGGTTTAGGAATTCGTACAGTGGCGGCTCGTGACTATTTTGGTTGGGTCGGCCAGCAGGGAGTGACCCAAAGTTTTAAGATATAGAATACAAGAAACAGGGACCTCAAGTTAGTCATTATATATAATTTGCTACCTGTATGGTGTTGATTCATATAGACCTAACAAACTGGCAAAATTGTCATTTCGCAAATTATAAATATTGTTCAGCAAGGACCACGAGAGGTCTTCCTCGCTGGGATTGGGATAAGGATAGGTTTGTTAGTAATGGAAGTATGGGATGTATTAAATGTAGAAATAATGAATATTATTAATAAGTGCAAAAATCAACTTTTTTCACTAGCAGCCATGACGCATGCAAATGTCGACTCATTTAGAGGTAGCAAATTCAACTTTTGCGACCACCGGTTCAAAAAGAAAAATTGAGGTTATGTACGCAATGTTTGATGTGATTATTTCTTAAAAAATGAACAAATGTGTGCTACAAACATTACTTGAGTATACGCATGGTAGTTGGTAGACGGTAGAAGATAAAATGATTAACTCAGCGACAAGTTTAAACGGTTTTCTTTGTGTTGAAGATTTAGATTAAGTTTGATTAGAAATCAAAACAAAATCATGTTGCGTCAAAAAATTGAACGTTTATTTTTTCAGTTTATTGTCTTATGGTTTCTACTAATGAAAAAAATAGTATATTAACCACGGTTGCAAAGCCACTTCTAGACCTCGCGCTTCAGAGTCCTCGACGCTGCGCGTCTCGGGTTCTAATTTGCGCTCGGTCTAGAATGCTTGGCTCTGCAACCTTGGCTAATAATATGCTATTTTTCTAAAACAAAATAAAAAATATTCTTGAAATACGTATAAAGTAAAGCATATATACATAAGCAATATATATAATAATTATAATAATATAATAACGACAATAAACTCAAATAAAAATCTAATCAATGCATATCATTACTTGGTCTTAGTACCCGTAATGGTAGAAGCCTTGCCTGAATGCCGGTCATTCCCGGGTCAGTGGTGGATATTTAAATTATAAAATAAAAACACATTCTAACAGAAAATATAACCTAAACAACTAACTAGTTACGATCTTAATTTTTTTGTTGCTAAAGAATCTTGATTTTGATATTCCTTGTGGTATTCTTCCTTAAGTAAGACACATGTTAAAGGTGTCATCTAGTTTTTCTATGGGTTCATTTCCACTTATTATTACTCTGTAAGTGGTTCGTATTTACCGGCTGGTTTGTGATTTTTCATTTACTTCAGCGCCTACTGCACTTCTTCACTTCTTAGTTATATATAAGATTTTTTTTTAACTCCTGGAAAAGCTTGTCTCCGTTCCACTCCTGTATTTATATAACAGTTTGAGTTAATATGTATTTGTTCTTTTCCATATCTTTTCTAATGCGTTCTTAAGTAACGAGTTCAATTTTTAGCTTAATTAAAGACAACACAAAATTAATTGAATTCATTATTTTATTAAATTAATTATATACAATATATTTGGCTGCCAGTAACAAAAATATTCTTACTTTGAATAAAATAAAAATACTAAAAATATTTACAATGGTTTTATTAACATCTCATTATTTTCACATCTTGCATTATTTTTTTGCCAAGAGGTCCAGCGTCTTCGTTTTGACGACGTTTCCTTTTTTCCACGGTGGAAACTGGTCCTCGTGCTGAAACCTGTCTTCGAACAATTTTGGTAGTGTTGGGTCCAAACACTCCTCCGGGTCCACTTGTGGTTACGGAAATCAAGAGCCCTGGATTAAGCATCTCCTCTCGGCGTCTTCGTTTCTCCAACACCCTCTGGTCCTTGATGGTCTTCCTCAAAAACGATCTCCCTGGACGATGTGTTTCCACAGGTCGTTGGAGCTGACAGCAGTTAGAAGTGAAGTAGGGTCCAAACACCTGAAACAAATACAATATTAGTAAAAAATTACAACAAAATTAAAAATATTACTTACCTCAAGATGACGGCCCAAAGCTCCACGGGTAAATTCGGCAAAGCAAATTCAACGTCGGGGAGGAAAGGTAAAATTTTGTACATCTTGGAAAATTTTATCGTGCAAGCAGAGGATAAACTGAATGGGTGGCGGCACGTTGCGGTATATATACCCGACACGCGCTCCCCCTCCACTCCACTAACGATGGAAAGGGAAGCGGAGAAGTGGGGACAGAGTGCGGCAGCGGTCAGTTTGAATTATGTTATGTTTTTAATTGTTTTAACATCTGCGAGCTTGTTTTTAAATAAACTGTGGTTGTAATTTCTCGAAATTAATCTGAACTTATCTATATCTGAAGCATCGATTCTGCAGTTATCTTTGCGCGTATTCAAGAATAGAAATCTAGCATTAACAATTCATCTCAAAAACTTGTTAAACAAATCTCGTTCGAAATAGACAGGTTAAAGTTCCGAATCCATACAATTTAATAAAAACAAAAAAAAAACAATTTACACATAAAAAAGACAGTTTCGAACGCAGTGATTGTGTTATTTTAGAATAAAATAAATGTTCAAAATATGCTCCACTGGTACAATACCACATAATCCAGTACAATAGAGTATGGCAGGCCGCAGGATTAGATTAAAGTGTTATTTTATGTTTATAGTTATTTATTAAGTAGCAAAAAACGAATTAAAAAAGTAAATTAGAAATTTTTATAAACCAATTCAATGCGTCTCTGCTTTGTATCGGCAAAATGGTCAATTACTTGATTGTAGAATTTTTGATCTTCAGTCAAGTTTGTGAGCAGTTCTTTTTCTATTGCTAAAACGGATAATTTGGATAATCGATTTTGACTAATAGAGTTTCTAGTAAAATTTTTAATTCGCTTTAAAGCTGAAAAACTGCGTTCAACAGATGGCTGGTATGGTTAAAATTAAAGATAGAAGTTTCTAAATTTCTGGCACAATATTTTCGAGTGAATTGGAACAAATAAAATGTAACATATCTTGAGACGAGGAGGAGTCGCCAAAAATAGTTTGATCGGAATATAAAATCTCCAGTTCTTTTTCCAATTTAGTTTTGTCAAAAAAAGACTGATAAGTTTGAATTAGACCATTTAACAAGTGATGAGGAAATGTCTTTTGAAACTGAGAAAATTTTGTTCGATCTACGAGTTCAAAAAATTGTAAATCTTTCAAATCGGCAAATCGACTCGCGTTTTGATTTCGAATGATATCCAAAATTTCGTAAAATTTTTTTTTATAGTAAATACTGTCGTTTTCTTCGTTATCAATTCTCTGTTTTTTAAAAGGGGGGCCCAAAATACTTGTCACTTCGTCAAAAGATATTTTGGAAACTTGATTCGTCTGTTCTAAAATTTTCAATTGTCTCTAGAAGTGTGTCTATTCTTTTTGTACAATACGGAATATTAGATAATTTATTTTGAATAATAGAAAAAATTAAATCTGTCTGTTGAAAAATTTTATCAAATATTTTCAATAAGAATAAAAATTTGAAATCATTTAATATTTTTTTGAAACCGGTTCAATGGTGTCAAACAAAATTTGATGTACAGAATCGATTAAGTCATTCTGAATCGTTTTAGATAAACCGCTAAAAAACTAAAAACAGATGATTCGTCCAAAAATTTTTTGAATTTTTCGTAGTAAGTTCCTAATAATTTTGCAAGTTCTTTAAAATTTCCTTTATTAATTGAATGTTCCTTTTCAGAATGGCCCCTAAACGCTAGTTCTTGTTTCGACAAAAAAATAACTATATCGATTAATCGTTTCATAATCTCACGATTTTCTTTGACTTGCTCGTTATGTTTTTGAATCGACAAACGATGACCGACATCTAACGCGTTAGCAACATTTTGTTTCCCAAATATTTTAAATGTCAAAGCAGCATATATATGTATGAGCTTTCGCCGTGCCATGTGTAGACAGTCTTTTAAGTTATCATAGCCTAAAGAATTCCATGGAGTTTTTTAAAATTTATTGTCAACATCATATCCAAACATTAAACAATACCAACAAAATAGTTTGTTTTTCGACTCGCTTCCCGTCAGCCACTCATATTTCTCATACCATGCTGTATTAAATGCTCTTGCACCAGAACTGACGTTATTATTGTTCGGTGCTTTGATTAAATTTTGCATACGCGGTTTCGGACGGCCCCTTTCTTTTACAAGCATTTCATCATCGTACGTTAAAAGCCGAAAGTCATTGTTTAACAGATATGTGACAATGTCAAAATTTAAATCACTTACTAATTCTCTTACTGTTGTCATTGTTACTGAAATTAGAAATAAACCTAAACCAACTGTTAAATTTCACCCACGTGTAGACTCCAGAAATTCACAATACAGATAACGGCCAGCCGATGCAGGTGATGGGGAACCGCATGGAAAAGTGCAATGATGAAACGGAATATCGTACGGTTTCGGCGCTATTGCATTCTAACTTATACAAACAGAAGGTGATAGCGCTATAACAAGTTGATATACTACCGAACGGCCGGCCGATTTTGCCACACATTTGACCAATCACTGCTGCAGGCGCGTTAATTCGATGTGTATCAGTCTTTACAGCTATTTCTTTTTAATTCTGCTAAACAGAGAGCGATAGCAGATATGACATTATTCGGTGTTTATTCTTTAGTCGGCCGGCTTAAGCTACTGCTTCTCGCTGTAAAAGAAATATTCAAACTTCGCGGCGCGATTTGGTACCGAACGAAACAGTTTATTTATATATAAATTTATATATAAATAAATTAGGTAATGCTTTTTGTAATTAAAAAAATAATAATAACAGTAAAATCAGATGATTTCAAACAGCTTTTAAGTATATTCTTGCCCTTAAAATAAAAATTAATATCGAAAATTGACAAGTTCGGCGACAGATTCGGCCTGGTCTAACTGGCCCCCCCTGACGAGCCGCCACTGAATTCGTATTTAGTTTTTACGATAAACATCCAGAGTTTTGGAACAAAAAAAAATCAAAAATGTGTAACCACATTGGTTTAACTTTGAAACTGTAAAACCGAATGCTCTGAAATCTTACGAACGTTTTAAAGATATCGTAAGCATTGAAAATCTTTAGTCAAAATTTATACATTTACTCCTTCTCAAAAAATTGACGTCAGCTCAAAATTTTATCAAACCTATCTAAAATAAGCAAAATGCCTGTTATGATTATGAGTCTACTACAAGTATACTTGTAGTCTATCAACGCATTCATAGTTTTTATATTACTTATAGAGGATATCTCAAAAAATTAATGAATGAAAAATTCGCAAAACAAATTTTAGCATTTTTCGGAAAAGTTGAACAAACTATACTTCAGGGACGAGGAAAGTTCTGTTTAAATAATCTTAGAACAATTTTTATGAATAGGTGTTCCCATAATATCTACGATGTCTATAAATAAATATAATGAAAAATGTAACATTCCATCATATATGCAACCCTCAATATGCACCGACACTGCGCTATGTTGCATAACAAACCAGAGGTAAAATAATAAGTCCAAAAGTGTGTTTATTTTAGACAAATAGATGAATATTATAGTCACACTCCTACATACTTTCTTTTTGAAGCCTTTATTACAAAAAAATACATAATGTTTCGTTCTTAAATTTATAATTTTCCAATTTTTTTCTCTCCAAGGTTTTCCTTAGAATCAAATACACTAAACAGAAAATACGTTAAATAAAATGTGTGTAAAAAATACTCGTTAAAGTAGAGAGTAACATTAATGTGTAAAAGTAATTAATTTATTGAAAATGTTTACATCCTGTATTGACGATATTTTATGGTTGTTAATGAATAAACATTTACAGATGTCCGTTATTTCCCCACTACGTATATTTGTTATGAACAGTTTAAACAGGACAGCTGTACACATTCACGCTTTTATCTTCTGATACAGATACAATTTTACTACTATCTGGACTAAATTTAACACCCCAAACCTGCAACATTAATATAAATAATTAATAGGAAAACAAAAAACTATAGTCACTGTACTTGATCAGTATGTTCTTTAAAGGTGTGAACACACTGTTTAGTGGCGAAATCCCAAACTTTCACAGTTTTATCAGAACTACCAGAAACAAATCTTTTGCCATCTGGAGAAAAAGCAACACTCAGAACCCATGAAGCATGTCCAGATAAAGTACCAACCACGTTTGTATGTTGGCTAAAATGAAAATTTAAAATAATTATACATAAATAATAAAAATTTTTACACATCATAAAGCTTCATATGACCATCATCTGAAGCTGTGAGCAAAAGTTGAGAATCTGGAGAAAAACAAAGAGAACGAATTGGCATAGCATGTCCTTCCAAAGTATGCCATAATTTATTTCCAGCTACATCAAAAATATTTACAATTCCATCTATGGCTCCACTCGCTATATATTTACCATCAGGACTCTAAAGAAATACAATTAATACAAATTTACAACAGCATAATAAATTACATAGGCTATACTCAAAATAAATTTGCCTCTGGTATCCAAAGTTTGTTCAGCTTTTGCTGTTTCTACATTGTATACTGTAATTTTCCCAGCATGTGAACCAGATATTATATATTTATCATCAGGACTAAATTCCACAGTCCATAAATCCACAGGCCCAACATCCATATTGGCAATTTTCTCCCCTCTGTCTAAATCCCAGATGCGCATACTTGAATCTAAGGAACTGGAAGCGCACACTACTCAACATTTAAAATTTTGAATGTATGGTAGGATCTCACATTTCCCATTATTGCTAATAGCTACTGAGACAACACCCAAAGAATGGCCTTCCAGATTATGTTTTAAGACTAAACGATCATCTTGTAATTCCCAAACTTTAACCAAGTCATCAACACCTCCGGTTATAATGTAGTCAAGTGGTGCATCATCCGAGGACACTGAATCCCTAAAAAATAATTATCAGGTACTAGCAGCGACTTTAGAGACAAAATACCTGGATTTCTCATCATCATGTTGGTCTTTTTTCCTTTTTTCGTGTGAATAACGGCCCCATGCACAGGACCAGATGCTCTCATCGTGAGCATTTTCTTTTTTATGAACAACGGAATACTGAAAATATATCTTTTAATTTAATAATATTCAAAAGAACTTGTTAATTTACCATCTCGGTAAAGGGCAAAACTTTGGTTAAAAGGGTTAAAGCGTGTTTTTGCAAGGTGGGCAATCTTAAATTATAAATGTCACTAAGTAGTAAATAAAATTCAAGCTAGAAAATAGAAAAAAATTAAGATATATTGTTTATAATGTAATCAAATTATATTATCATTGTTAAATATGTCCTTAGTTCAAAGAATTGAAGAACCATTTATCCCGAATTTCAAAAACAAATAATAGGGGAAAATGAGTGAGATTGGTGATACTGGTAAAGGTCCCCAAACGTGTAACATATGTCATAGTTTTTAGGTTAAGTTTTCGTAAACAATATTTTTCTTTTTTGAGGTGAAATTGCACGCTTTATATTTGTAGAAATGTCTGCAACATTTAAAAATGCAAAGAAAAAGCTTGGACAGACGGAGCTTCGCCGTCTTATGAAAGAACATAAGGGCAAAATTCAGAAAGATGTCAAAAAAATTGAATCACCCCTTGCAAAATATCCTTTTTATACTAATATTTTTTTATTTAATTTTATTATTTATTTTGTGGTATTTCCTTAACTTGTATCACGTATAATGATTTAGGTCAACTCACCTGTATTTTATGTAAGTCTGTTGTTAAGTCCGAGAATGTGTGGAGTGTACACATTAATTCAAAACAGCATCGCGAAAATGTAGAATTAGCCAAAAAATTGAAAGAAAGAACAAACAATTTTACTACTCCTTTAAAAAGACCGTTAACGCCGCCTATGGAAGTGCCCGAAAAGAAGTTGAAGGGGATTTTGAAAAATGCAAATACTACTAGTAAAAATGAAGATGCTGCACCTACTAATGACAAAACAGATTTACCTGATGACTTCTTCGACTCTAAGCTGAAGCTGGGACCCCCAATTTTACCCGTCCAAAAACCCACCAGTAATATGATGGAAGTTGATCATGACCCATTGAAAGAAGCTACAGAAACATTACCTGAAGGATTCTTCGATGATCCAAAATTGGATGCAAAAGCTAGGAATCAAGAGTATAAGGATCCTAAAGAGGAAGAATGGGAGAAATTCTTGAAAGAAATACGTGAAGCTGATAATAAGAGTGCTGCTATTATTGCAGAGGACCAAGAGGAAGCTACAAATGAAAGGCAGATTGACGATATTGAGGAACAAATGAAGAAATTATCTAGGTAAAATTTTAAATACATTTATTATCCTCCCATTGAGTTTGTTGTAGAGTTTTAGATTTGGAAAAGAAAAAGGAAACCATAAAATCTGTTTCAATTAATAGTAACGCCATGGATGCAGATGAGGAATCAAATGAAGAAGATAATGAAGATTTTGATGAATACTTAGACTGGAGATCAAAGAATGCTTTTAATTAGGAGATATGTACATAACTATAAATTTTTGTATATTTTTAAAAAAATTGTTACATAAACTGTATTACATCGAAATTTAAAAGGAAAGCGTGGTTTCTTGAAGCACAAAACTGTTCTGTCCACCGTTCTTTCGATCGAAATTTTTTCTTCTACTTATTCAAACTTAATTCGCTGACTTATAGTTACATATTACTACGTTTTCATAGATATTTAATTAACTAACCTAGGAAGTAATTGAAAATTGCATTAAGCCTTTAATTTTGAAAATTTGGCACGTGAAATTTATTTGGTTCACGTAAATAACATAAATGAATAAATCAATTTGATTTCCTCGCTTATTAACCGGATTAATAAGCCAACAAACAGCCAGCAGTCACGTGATTACTAATTCTAACAAGTGCGATCTGTATGATTGGTTGCCTAATCTGTTATCCATTTTTTTATAACGAGTTAACGACGTTTGAGGAAATATGTATAATTTGAGTGATCAATTGATCATAATTCATTTATTTAATCATAATAATTACACATGATATTTTCTCAAAATTATGGGTTAATTAAGAATAAATTAGTTCAAATACCTATTAATTTTTAGATAGGTAGACTTTATTTCTGCAATAGGCGTGCATCATACTACTATTCCACAAGTTGTAAAATGTCAAAAAACACTTATTATTATTTTTTTGAGCAGTTTAGAGAAATCAAAAAGAAGAAACTGTAAGAAATAAAAGATAGTCAGAGATAAAATGTTAGTAATTAGAAATCATTGTTTGTGTGGAATAGAAAAATAAAAAAGACAGGATTACATGAAGTATTATTACTCTTAATCGTTAAAAAAAAGAGGCCATAACAATAACGGAAAAATTAAAAAGCTATTTGCATTGCACAAGCATAAGTGGAACAATTTTTCAGAACCCGATCAGAAATTTAAAAAAAATGATTCTATTGTACCTCCATGACCTGACGGTACTAATTTACACAGAACTTCCCCTGCCCCTAAGGACAATAGCGGCCATAGAAAACTGGAACATTTTGACAGAGCTAACTCTTACTTGTGTTTTTTTTTAGCAGTTTGAATATACGCACCTGATTTGAAAAAAGGGATAATGACTTTGTTAAAATGATTTGATTTGTCAAACAAAACATTAATGAAACCATAATTTTTTTTTAATTTGTAAGTGTCAAACTTAGTGGTCCATTTTTTATGGCTGCGACTATAGAATCAAACAAATTCAAACAACTGAGTTTCTTACATACCGAAATTATAAAATTTGATTTGCAACTTTATTTTGTGATAACTGATAACCCAAACATTCGGCCTAAAATTCACATGTGAAAAAAAATTGAAAGCCCGCGAAATATTCAAAATTTGGTGTTTTTGAAAAATGGCGGGATGCGTTCAGATGCAAATGGTGGACTCCAAGGTTGGAAAAGGACCGCTAAATAAAACACAAAATATATGGAGAACACAAAATTATTTATTCCTCCACTGACAAAAAAAAACTTGCCTAACTTTGAATGGAATCAAATTAAACGTTCTGAATCAATACAAATATTTGAATATCACAAATCTAATAAAAATAAAAAAAATCTGAATTAAAGTAATTGGATGCAAATCTACACAAGTTATTTCGGACGTGTGGCGGCAAATTTAAAAGTATGGCAGTTTATGTATGGCAGTCAACAAGAGAACAAATTTTTAATGAAAACTATATGCGGCATCAGAGCGCTATAAGAGTGTGGTGATCGAACTATATCAATTTCATTTTGCAGCACAGCAAAATTACCCATAGGGAGCATTGTACGTAGCACGAGTGGAGGTTGGGGCCCCTGGTCGTGGCTGTTCTGCCACCGCGATGGTGATTCTATTCTATCGACACGCATATGCCACCCAGCACCCCTCTATGACCAAGAAACGTGCCACGCGGAAACAGGCCGTTACGGTCGTAAACTCGTTGTTGGAAATCTCGGCTATTGGGCCAAGCCGCGAGCGTCACGTCATCCCGACTGTCCCTGACTTCTTTAGACCTGCATCTTTTCTGCAGATGGCGCGGCTGCCAGCTCGACAAGGAACCGCGCACTCCGCTTCCGCTACGTGTTTCTCTATTATTTAACCCCAATTCCATTTAAATGTTCAATTTCTATAACTCTGACATTAAACTACAACTGGACAAGTGTTAAAATTTCAAAAAGAGCAATAAACAACATTTAAATTCGCCATACACTCCCGTGAAATTTTAAACAGCAAAGAAATCTTATCTGAAATTAAGATTAGACGTCAGACAATTTATATCATGGAAACATTAATCAATAAAATATTTACATAAAAAAAAGCTAGCAAAGATTTATAAAAATAAAAAAAGATCTGATGTGAAATGAACTTGTACAGATAAAAAGTTACGCGAGATTAGGAACTGCATATCATGAAAATTTCCGATCAATTTAAATTATACAACAAAGAAAATTACTGAAGTTAAAACTGCGAGATAGAGAAAAATTGCACGAGGTGAAAAATTGCAAAGCTAACAAAATTACATGAGATCAATATTTTATGTCCATCCGAGTTATTGGTTAATTTTTTAAAAGTGAAGTTATTCAGCTGAATTGTGGGCCTTTGTTTTACATTCCCCCAAACAAACACAATCTGGAAGTTCAAAATGACGTCGAACGAATGCGTCAAAAATATGTCTCCCAGAAATGCGATCAATCCTGTGGCGCTGTGCAAATAATGGTCTAAATCAAAGGAATAAAATGCACGTTCCACATGACCCACAATGTTGTTAATTTGTTCAACGAGATTTTACAGTTCTAACATGTGCTTGGTTTGAAAATACGCTTTCAACATAGCCGCTGCCAGAACAAAGAATTTACCTGATGTTAAATTATGCCACCCTTTATCAACGATTCAAACAAAGAATTTACATTATGGTAAATTATGCCACACTTTATCAACGATTCAAACAAGAATTTACATAATGTTAAACGATGCATTGATCCAAGTGACTGGTTACCTTAAACAATTAGCTTTGAGAGTTTAAATCCTGAACTGTCCCCAGCTTATCCCAAATAAAACACATGATAAATAAACACAAAATGCATCAGGCGTTGCTAGAAAAGCTTCTCGGTGATGTAATTTTCCACGTTGCGAGAAAATGTCTCAGTGATGTAATGATGATATGATGATATTAACTGCTTCATACCTCAGTCCAGGATATTATGAATTTTACCGTACTTTCACAGTTCTTTTCACAGAGTGGGATAACGTTAGGTTAATTTTGACTGCCGTAGATGAACTAAGGTACGAGACAAAAAATTATCACGGTGCAATTTTTTAAGAATTTTTTATTATCTAGACCTTTGGCTAAATAATACACCCAGTAGAAGTTAATTTAGTATACAAAAATGCTTTTTTCAGTGATATTTTTGCATCAAATAATTACTGATCTGTGAAAACTCAATTGGGTCAAGAAATTTTGAGACAAAAAATTATCACGCATCACTTTTTGTATAAAAATCAATTAGAAAAACGTAGTATGCGTAATTGTTGTTTATTTGTATGATATGCACGATATGCAATTGTTTGTTAGAACTGATAAAGTCTCGAAATATAATTGGCTGAGCCACAATAATTGTCTTTCGCCATGGGCAAAGAAAACGATTTAGCAGAACGTGAAAAAGGACAGATTGAGGCATACTATGACCAAGGTTTGACTTTTGCGGAAATAGGATGAAAGACTTGAAAAGATCGGACCACAATCTCCAAGTTTGTAAGAAAGAAATACAGTGAAAATGGACGACAAAATTGTGGAAGGAAAGAAAAACTGACTGCACGTGCCAAAAGATGTATTGTGACTCCGGGTATAAAGGATAACATGTCGTCTCAAATGATAAAGACGACCCTAGGACTTCCTGTTCAAAAAAGAACAGTTTTGCGAGTACTGGCTAATGACAAAAATGTTAAATACGCCAAATATAAGAAACAACAAATGTTAACAAAAAAACATATTCAAAAACGTCGTGAATGGGCCAGAGAAATGCAGACGAAAAATGAAGAATGGTTCCAGATAGTTTTTTCAGATGAAAAGAAAGTTAATCTTGATGATCCTGATGGTTTTAGATATTATTGGCACGATTTACGGAAAGAACCAAAGTATTTGTCAAAACGAGTTCAAGGAGGTGGCAATGTTATGGTCTGGGGTGCCTTTAGTAGCTTAGGAAATAATAACTTAGCATTAATCAAATCGAATGGACTCTCTGAATTACCAAGATGCGTTGGAAATGCACCTCAAACCACCTTTGAACCTATTTCAAGACAGCAAAGTGATTTTTCAGCAAAATAATGCGTCGATTCATGTGTCTAATTCATCGAAAATGTGGTTTCAACGACAAAATATAGCTTTGCTATAATAGCCTGCGAAAAGCCTACATCTCAACCCTATTGAGAATGTATGGAGTTCTCTTGTACGAGAGGTTTATAAAGATGGGAAGCAGTACGCAACAGTTAATGAATCGAAAGATGGTATCTTGGGGGCTTGGGAGAATTTGGGCGTCAATTACTTCATCCATTTGGTCAATTCTATGAAGCAACGCGTCTACAATCTCATAGAAGCAGGTGGAAAATACATTGGGTATTAAATTAGTTTTCATTTAGTTAGTTAGTTATTTCCCTTTTAAGCGTGATAATAATTTGTCACAATAAGTCTGTTAACAAAATTACATATTTTCAATAAATTTCGTTCAGTTTAGTGTTTTCTGTGAAAATGTTTTATTAAATTAATTAAAAATGGAATTACTCAATCAACCAGGTATCTTCACTTTCTTTTAATACATTTAGGCAAAAATTCTGCACCGTGATATTTTTTTGTCTCGTACCTTATTAGCAATTTTGTGTGAGGAATTAAGAAGAATTGTAATGTAACACTTAAGTATAAGCATCCAGAAAACTTATTCATATTGGTAAACAAAGGATCAGTCTTGACTAAGTGAATTTCATGAAATCTCCTAGCAAGTGCTTATCTAAACAAATTCCTGTTAAACTGTGTTAGAACTAGTTAACGATTAAAATCCTGTCATGAACTGTGAATTTA